TCGCTTCTGAAGGCCGAAGTTCACCTGACGTTGAAGGCCTAGCAAAACCATCTTCACGAGGAAGGTCATCTTCTGCTGGTCTTTTTGTTCCACGTTCCCCTTCATCAAATTCCCGTGCCCGCTCGAGAGTGCGAGCCAAGGCTTTAGCTGTTGCTTGAGGGAAAGGTGTCCGTTGAACAGCTTGAGCTACACCTTCGGGTAGTGGTGTGGCAATGCCTGACCCAACGGCTGAAGGAGCATCTCTGCTAGGTGCTTGAGCTGGAGGTGAAATAGCAGCAACCACCTCAGCTGGAGTCAAAGGAGAAGAGGTAGCTACAACGGGCAAGGGGCGTTCATCTTCAGGAAGTGGTTCAGCATTTTGCTCATCCTCTCGATTCACAGCATCATTCTGCGCTGCAGAGATCACCTCTTCAATTGCTGCCTCCCAAGAGCCAGAAGCAATGCTTTCAAGCGAGGATGCCTTTCTCACATGCTCCACTGGGCACTTGGTCAATTGACCACGAAAGGAAATGAAACAATTTGAAGCAAAACCATGACCATCTTTGCCCTCAATGGCCACGAGAAGACCAGGGCCATGCCACCTCTTCAAAATAAAAGAAGCTGACGTCTTGAGCCAATGCCTCCGTCCTTCTTGGACTTGTACTTCTGCGCACGCCAAAAGAAAACAAGATCTTCTGGTGTAGGCAAGGATGTAGCCGTCGAGGAGCGGGAGCGACCTAGTTCTGCTTTTCTCAGTCCACGACTATAGTGAAGTCTGGTCATAGCCACTCTGGCTGTCTCACGCATCGCCACCTGCTTGGCCATGGAGGGAGTCACCTCCAAGAGTGAGTGCTCAGCTAAGTGGTTGCCGAACTCAGCCAACACATCGCCTTGAGATCGGGTGTTCTTCCCGGTCACCATCTGCTGCTCACCACTGCCTGCATGGAAGTGAGGAGCTTTGTTGGTTTCTTGTGTAGAAGGCCGTCTGGGGCACGTAAATTGAAACAACACATGTCCAAGACCACCTCCAATGCATGAGTGCGAAGCACAAAGTCCTGCAAAGTAGGAAGGCGCCAAGCCATCGAGTTCCGAGGGTTCTCCATGACATAGTGCCGGCCGTGGGCCACTTGAAACTCTGCCACACGAATTGCGAAAGCTATCAAACTCAATGCCTCTTCTCGCATCCCAGCCAAATTGGCGGCTGGGTTCAGGAACTGAAGTGAAGACCAAGGGCCGCAAGGAAATGCCAGAACAACAACATAGGGTTTTGTTCTCTTCAAGACTTCAAAAGCAGCAATCTGGTCTTCCTGCAAACGAAGATCCCAACCTGAACTCAGGGTCAGACTGTCTCCAGCGTGAAGTCCACGTCGTCGAATTGCACGAGCCACAGGTTCAGTGTCCGTAAACACTTCAGTAGCCAGGGTATGAGGAAATGTGAACTCCAAAAAGAAGGTCTCGTTCATGTAGGCTCGCATGACCGTCTCCCAAGTAGCCATGAAAATCTCCTGAACATCTTTGGAGGAAACGGAAACAGCTTTCTGGTCACGCCTGTGCTGCTCCCAAGCCTGGGAGATCATTTGCCGCAAGCCAGGTTTCAAATTCTTCCTTTCCACATGAAATTGAGACGCATTGCTCAATCCGAGTCCACAATCTCGATCTTGGCATCCACGGAGGCTCCACTCTGCTGGTTCTGCACGGCCTGGAGGACGGTTTGCATCATCGCATTGAAGCGCTCGTCCTGGGCCTTCATCAGCGCTTGCACCTTCAGCTCCATGGCATGGAGTTCCTGTCCAATGTTGGAGCCCATGTCGGCTCGCTGCTCTGGAGTCAGAGGTGGAGTCATTCGGTCCACTTGGGCCCACGCTGTACTCGGAGGACTCGACCATGTTGATACACCAGATCGTCCCGGAGGAGTGGAAGGGACCGTCTGATGCTTCAAGGTTGAACTGCTCGCCGGAGTGGGTTTTTTGCTTGAGAATGTCCACAATCGGCCGAATCTTCTTCTGCAAATTGGCAATCGTGTCCTTCGCATCGACCTCGACATTCAACAGCAAGGCCAAACGAACAAGGTCGGCTCGGAGAGGTGGTAGTCCACCACGAGGACCGATCATCTGACGGGCCAAAATCTCTCGATCCTGAACTGCTGTCTCCTGGCGGGCTCGCTCTCGGGCTTCGTCCAATGCAGCTTGCTTCACCCGTTGACCATGCCCTTTCATCTGCCGAGTCAAGAGGAAAGTCTGAAGAATCATATCCTCCAGGAAGGCAAACTTCCACCCAACTCGATCCCGGAAACGGGATAGCTCCTGCAAGTGCTCCGCCGTGTAGAGGTTCCGGTTGGTGGCATAGTAGTGGTGACGGCGGCTCATCGAGTGGTTGTCCACCATGGTCTGCGCTTGCAGCTTCCAATCGGTCACAGACGAAATGGCAGGGTAAGGAAAAGGCAAGTACCGCAAATGTGAGCGCGGCGCCAACCAAAGCAGCAAGCTTCGTGCGTGCCAGAAGGCACGACCCAACGTGCGAAGGACGAACCTTCTCCACCGGTATGGTACGAAGGCTCGACTTCCCACATGCTCCGTGTACTGAGCAATCAAGCTGGGCGTCAATGGAATCAGCTCGTACGGAGTGTCTGCCGGAGTCGCCATGCCGCTGATCTGGTAATCGAGGAGCTCGAGGACGTTCTGGTAGGAGAGGAAGTAGACGGTTGCTCTGAGCACGACAGGAGTCACGCTTCATGTCTCGAGCCAAAGTCGAAGAGGAAGCTGCCGTCAAGTGAAGCTCATGCCAGGAACTCGCTGCAGCGACACTGGATTCAGTCAACAGATGCTCATGCTTTTCATCGGAGGGGTGACCTTTTGAACCTTCAGCTAAACGCCTTTGCAACCAATCGTGGGGTTGAAGTTGAAGTTCAACAATACCGTCTAAACCACACTTTCGCCATCTGTGAGGTCCTGGCCTTGGCCAGATCGCCGGCTGCAGGGGCAACATGAAGTGCCCAGCTGACATTTGTGCCAGGTCCAGCCTTTGGAGCTGGATGAAGCGAAATTCAACAGTGCTTTTCCCAAAATCAAGCACGGCTCCAAGGGCGTCCATGAAGTCACGACCAAGCAAACATCCCAATGAACTAATCGGAACAACTGAAATCCATAAAAGCAGCAAACGTTTCTGTCCCAAACAAATTGGAATTCGCCAGCGTTTGGTTGAGGGGACTGTTCCACCGTTCCCGAACTTGAAACGCTCGGTCTCATCGACATTCACAATCAGATTGGTGATCCAAGCGGGTGCAGAGGACTTCAGATGCTCTACATAAGTGTCCAACCAAAACTCACCGCAACACGTACGGTTGCAGGCCGAGTCCAAGGCGCCCACCAGAATCTTCTCTTCTGACAGCACCTGAGAGGCGGGCGGCGAACCAGCGATCAAGGCTGCGTGAGAAACCCGGTGGTTGTTGATGGTGAAGTCCAGAGCTTGGTCCAAACGAAGAGACCCTACATGGTTTACCATGGAGGCTTCATGAACCTTGGGGTCAACCGGGAGTGATGCCGATGGAGGTGAGGAGGATGAAGTACCAACCAAAACAGTGCTGGGATCATGCTCTGCATGAAGCGCTTCAGTCACTCGCACTTGCCGCGGCTTTGCTTTTGCCACAGCCAACGGCTTGCGCCCAAGTCCTGCTCCTGGCTTTGGGCACTCTTTGTCGCCTGCCCAGTGACCATGCTGGTTGCAGTCAAAGCATGGGTGGCGACCTGACGCTTTCCTTGCTGCTGGCACTCCAGCATTCTTCGCACCTCCAGCTGGGCCTCCTGGCGAAGGCTTACCGAAGCCTCGGTCTTTTCGAAGCTCTTGGAGTTTGGAGCGAGCCTCTTTCATTGTGACTAATGCCTCTGCTGCCTGTTCAAAATCGGCCTCCACGCTTTGCAACAAGTCTGGATCGGCACCCTGTTCTTCAGCAGCCTGAAGTTCCGTGGCAAGGCATTCTGCTTCAGACTGGAGGAAGTCCACAAGTCCTGGCTCTTCCACATCCTCAGCAGTCTCAGCTGAGGCTTCCAAGACTTCTTCAACAGGTCCATCCTCATGGCCCTCTTCAGGCACTTCAGCCATATAGACCTTCCGAGTTGGGGCACTGCTGACACTGGCCGTCGAAGGTCTCCGAAAGGAGGACGCTGAGGAAAACATGGAGGGACTTCTACTAATGGTCGAAGCAGAGGACGAAGCGGAAGACGAAGGACCAACCGACTGAAACATCCGACGAATCGACAACCTCGGCTTGTCACCACCTTGGCCAAACTTCCGGTGAAGAGGATCAGCCAAATGCAGGTCTTTGAAGAGTCGGAGAACTTCGGCCTCGATCACATTGTATTCCTCTCGGCCTTGAAGCGCCGTCTCAAGCAACTGGCGACGAAGAGGATCAAGGCCAATCTTGTTCTTGAGGAACCAACCGAGTTCAGAGGCCGGCAAGTGAACTTGTTCAGCTTGGAGGTCAGCAACAAGTGTCCTGAACCGAGTGCAGAACTCACTCAACCGTTCCCCAGGCTTTCGTTGAAGTTCCAAATAAAATTGGCTTCGCAGTTCACCACGCTTGTCCAAAACCGTCTGGCCATTGATCGACTCAAGGGCGTCAAGCAGCTTGTTCAAGCCATGCAAGTAGTCGGGAGGAGTGATCTCGATCTCATCGTTGGTGGTCGGGTCAATGCCCATTTCCGCAGGCTTGTAAGCCAAGTCCTCAGGGTTAAACTCTTCCCCTCGCTGACGCACTATGCCAGTCTGACGCAAGAGCCAACGTGCTGCCAGGTTGTACTTGGCAGTCGAAGCGAGGTCTAGGCTTGAGACCCACCAGCGCATTTCGCGACGAAAAGCACGCCAGGTCAAAGGCGAACCGTCCCATGTAGGCACCTGGTACCAAGAACCCTTGGCC